AGCCATCGCCGCAGTCCCCTCCATGCATCAGGCCTTCGAGGATCAGTTCTCGGGAGGTGCCCCCGTGAACGGTGGTCCACGCGCCAAGGGTCCTTTCCGAAGGGACTCCGCTCCACAGGACAAGGCGCGCCAAAACCAAAAGCACAGGGAGTCCAAGAAAGACGCTCGCCGCCAGGAGCTCGATAGTCAGCTCCAGGACACCTTCAAGGCCCTCTTCCACGGCAACTTTAAAGCCGTCACCATCCTCGAACCCTGCAAAAGCCTAGGCAGGTATGGATCGGGCGTCGGAAAGAGGTCCCTGGCTGCCACCTTCGGCGTCAGTCTCAAGCGGTTGACAAGGTCTTGGCGGGTTCAGGGCAACTCGGCGCCACCTACGACCTCAGCAACGTAGGTGCAGACGAGCCCACTGCAGACAAGTACCAGACCGTGTGGTTCCCTGAGGACCAGCCCATCACGATGGCAGATGCGTTCCAGAAGTCGGTGGATTTCAAGGCCCTAGGAGTCGTCAGGCACGGCAAGTCAGGCTTATTGGGGATCCGTGTTGCACGAGGGTCAGACGCCGCCAAGGCTGCTGCCGTCAGCATCCGTGGCTGCGAAGCCACCCTCGCCAAGACGCGATACCGCATCACTGGCATTGCGGCACGCCACGCCACGCTGACCCAGCTCGCTAAGACTCTCACGGGCCCGTCCGTCAAATGGGACTGTGAGGTCTACCACACCGCCTGGGACCCAGCCACTTCGGCTCAGTTTGCCTTAGTGCGCGCCATCGTCCCCCACCCACATATACGGTACAGGTCGCAGGGTGCCCCATCCCGTGGAGCATCACCGAGGCCCCGTTGGCTGAGGTGGTGCCGAAGAGGGACAACGTTACCATTGTCACCCCTACCACTATCACAGAGCCTGTGACGCCGCCAGCCCGTGGTGGCGGCTTCAGCCCCGCCACTGGCACACTCCTCACCAAAGCGGCCCAGAGCCCTTACCTCCACGACCTCATGACTGCCACGCCCAAAGGCAAGGGCGTCGCACCGCTCCTGATACCCAAGGAGGAGCCTTTAGCCAAGCGCCACCGATCCTCCAGTGGGAAACGCGACGCCACGCCGCACGCAAGATCACACGGCGCCCCAGGCCGCAGCTCCTCTGCACCCCCGCACGGCACGGATGGAGCTGCCGAGCGGACGGCCGTCCAAGGATCAGGTGGTCATGACCCGCAGCTTGGCACGGTGGCATCTGAAGGCGGGGGCCACACGGAAGGGGACGCTGCCACAGCCGCCGAGGTACCAGGCGACGCTGACGACGTCGAGATCCTCTCATCAGGTGATGAATTCAGCGTGGCATCTCGCGAACTCAACACCTTCGGCGAACGCTTCGCAACGGCCCCTAAACTGCCAGATGCCGCCACGACCCGCATCCAACACATGGAACAACAGCACGAGCTGCTTGCCAACACGGTGGATAACATGCAGGTTCAGCTTGCGGGCGTTCTCTCATCCCAGGCCACACTCACGGAGCACGTTTCAGGTTTGGAACGAGGGCTTGCCACCGTCGTCACCCAGCAACAGACGGCAACTACCGAAGCTGCTGCACTGCGTGGTGACATCCAGGCCCTCCTCGGGCACCTCACGGGGGGCACCATCCACCTGCCACAGGTGGCCACTCTCGAAACAAAAAAGGAGGAAGCTGCATCAGTTGCCGATCCCGTGGCTGTCTGCGGGTGGATTGACCAGCCAGGCCAGGTCACCCCAGGGACGGGGCCCCCAGGGGCTGACAAAGGCAAAGACAAGGGTCGGGTCACTCAGGAACCCTATTGAAGGTGCCTCAGAGAGCCTGCCTCAGCCCTCCGAGGAAGCGCCTTCAGAGGCATCTCTTCTCTCTTCGCGTCGTATCTCTTTCTTGTCATATCATGTCAGTTTTGGCAGCAGCACGAGCAAGCTATCTGGTGTAGGGACACCTGTCATCTTGCAGGGGTGTGTTTGTTGCAATGTACATGAGCATGCAGGGGTATCTGAGGATGCGTGCTGACATGCAGCTTTTGGCTCATCGCTCGCGCCGCCCGCCAGGCCTCGCCATCATGTGGCGCCTTGCCTGCAGCCTGGCCCTCCCCTCGCTCGCTGGAGCACACCCGTCTTCAGGCGGTGCGCCCCAGCATGGAGGTGAGGTTTTCCTGCGACACGCTGAACGTGGGACTCTTTTCTACCTTTACGATGACAGCATCTACAAGTACGATCACTGCACCATTTTGGACCCGATCGTGAACAGCACCGTAGCCGCGGGTCCGTGCGGCAACGGACCGCTGGGCGCCATCGTGAGCGCATGCACGCCCTTGTCAACTACGACACATGCATCGAAATCCACCCCCAGCGTGGCCTCGACTGCGGTGCAGCAGATCCTTGACGGGGACGTTGATATAGGCCAGGCACACAGTGGCGGCTTCAGCCCCGCTGTCGTGCCCCGCTATTGCCCCACGGGTCTCACCACCCCCCTGTGCGCTAGGGGCGAACCCGAGGAGGACCCTGCTTTCTGGCACCTGATGATGATCCGTGCCCGCCTCATACCGTGTGCTGCGGCGTGGGCACCAGGGGAGGACCACCAGGACGTGTTCTAGGCATGGCTCGAGGACTGCGTCCCGTACATCCTGGCGACGCTTCATCTGCCACAGTACGATCACCTCTTCCAGGAGGATTCTGAGGACACAACCGACGCCCTGCGCCAGCTCACCGCGCTCGACATGTGCGAGGACATCTGGTATAGAGCGGGCCTCGACAGACAGCGCACAAACCGCAACCTCACTCTTATCCAAGGCAGCCGCGAGTATCCCACCCGTTACTTTGGCCTCCTTCTGGAATACCAGGGTGCTCGCGCCCAGCTTGTCGGCCCAGAAGCTTTCACGGCACCTTTGCCGCCATACCTCTCACGGGCCCACGCCTTACTACCAAGA